TCCGAGATTTTTCCAATACTCTGGTGGTGATTTTGAGGCTGCTAACCCTCGGAATTCAAATTGAGACTCTATACAATCAGAATCAATCTCTGTTGACCTCTTCATGTCTTCAGACTGTAATACCATTCTTCCAATTGGTGAGATTATTTTTTCAGGTTCATTTATATTTTTCCAATTTTCAAAAATTTGTTTAATAGGGATAGTGATTTTATATGATTTTATTTTTGCAATTTGTCTTATACCGGCTTCTTCTCTTTTAAGGTCCAGTGGAAGTATTCCTGCTACTACTTCTAAGGCTTCTATACTAGCTGTAGTTGGTTGGTTGAGACATAAGGCTAATCCTTTTCTTTGAATAGCATTTAATTTATTTATATGCGTGTTGTTGTTGATTTGCCATACACTGCTAGCATATAACATTGTAGACAGCACTATACTTTGATATATTTGTATTAAAATTTTTGTAGATACCTTTGCTATTCCCTTGATGTTTCTGATTATCCCTAAGGACTTTTGTGCTTTTTGCTCAACAGTGTCTATGTGTTTATTGAAATCACATTTTTCATCTAAAGTAAGGCCTAAAATTTTGGGGTTTGGATTGTATTTTAATTCCTTTCCTTGTAACATTATCTTGATGTCCTCCTTTGTCATACCATTTCTGGAAAACACACAAAATTCTGTTTTTTCTATACTGAGGTTTATTCTCCATTTTGTTGACCATTCATGGATGGAGTTAATATCTTTTTGTAACTCCTTCACTAATTCATGTTTGTCTTTGCCTGTTTTCCAGATTGTCCCATCATCAGCAAATTTACATTTGTTAGAGGAAATTTTAGCAAAAATATCAATAATAAAGATGTTGAAAAGTAAGGGGGATATAACTGAGCCTTGTGGAAGCCCAATTTGAGTTTTAAACCATTGTCCCTGATGCTTGTTTATATTACATCTTGCTTCTCTGTCTTTTAAAAAATTCTCTATCCATTTCCAGATTTTACCTTTAATTCCATATCCATGTAGTTTTGTTAAAAGTCCTTCTCTCCAAACACTATCATAGGCTTTTTCTAGGTCAATCATTAATGCGATAGTACTTTCATCTTTATTAAATCCATTAAAGATGTTTTGAACAAATGATAATAAAGCATTGACGGTGGAGCGGAAATGTCGAAAACCTTCTTTTTCTTTATCTAATATAAATTTTGACTCTACATAACCTTCTAACCTTGATGTTACTATTCTCTCCATTAGTTTACCTAGTATGCTTGTTAAACTAATTGGACGATATGATGATGGATTATTGTAGTTTGGTTTACCAATTTTTTTGATGAACTTGACATTTGCTTGTTTCCATGATTTTGGTAAGGAACCTTCATCCCATGATTTGTTCATTATATATAATAAAGTGCTATACAGATTATCATCTCCATTAATAAATAGTAATGAAAAGTAATTATCAGGTCCTGGACAAGTTTCATTTTTTAGTCTGTAAACTTATAATGTTCCACAAAATTGTAAATGAAAATATAGCCATTCCATCGCATAATGTATTACAACAGAGTCAGTCTACTACAAGATCCACCAATAAAGAATCTTACAGACAAATTCAATGCAATAAAGACAGCTATAAAATTTCTTTTTCCTGTCAAACCATCAAAGACTGGAACAAATTATCCTCTGAAATTACTAAAAACACTACTACTGAAAATTTCAAGTGTGCACTCACTCAAGATGTGCTCCTTGATACTTACCCTCATCTGAAATAAACAGATACTCTTGTTTTTATTTGAAACCAAAAAATAAAAATAAAAAATGTAATATTAAAAACTAAATAAAAAATTGTATAAACAAAAAACAAAGAAGATTGTAAAAATTGAAAATACGAAAATGTAGGACCAAAAACAACATTAACCAAGAAATATTTTGTTAATCTATGTTTTGACAAAAAATTCTCGATATCAACTTATTTGGAAACATTTACAAGGCATGCGCCGAAAAGTAAACATCAGTACTTTAATGGTTTTCTGTAACGAAAGAATAAGAACAGGCCACCTATATATGGTCAGATCATATGTTTTTCTAATGTCATATGAATTCGTACTATGCATGCTTTTTCAATGGGATTTGTGATGTCACAATGCGTTCTTAATAGCACGAAAACCCATAATATGAGGATACCCCTTAAAGGGTTTTTCCAAGGGTTCTTTACATACAGAGAGTGTAGCAATCAGCAATCTCTACATTATGCATCAGATTTAACGTTTACATTTTGACTGGATATGGCTGTGTACTTGTACATCTGGCACAGTCAAATGGACATCCTACTTTGGCAATGGTATTACTGCCATCGGAAGAAGACCAAAGTGACCAAATTTCTACTCCCCAGTCACCATGTGCATTGGGTTTTGGGAATCTTATTAAAGAATGTGATATGCTCTATACCCAATGAAAACCCTGGTAAAAAACAGTTGGCAGTATTCATAGTGTTTCCGTTGGGATATAGAGCATACTACATAGGCATATTTACACTTTTGGTCTTTAGCTGAATTTCGTCTCCAAATAACTTTCTCACCACATATAACATCAATTTTTTTGAATTATGATTCAGGAAAACTACATTTATAGTTAGCTCAATGGCGAGTGATAAAACAGATTGTTATCCCGAGAAAACATTGTAAATTGAGGCAAAGCCAAGGTTGACAATGTTTTTTTCGAGGGGTGCCAATCACCCTCTCAGTTATGTGTTAGTTAATTTATTATAATCAATGATCTATCATTATTGTTTTTTACTGTTAAATTTCAAATTGAAAGTACTTAACTATGATGTCACTTACATAACAAAGTACAACTATTGGAAAAACAACAAAAGTGAAGCAAGCTATATTTTTTTATTTTGACAGTCTATGAAAAAGTTCAGATGCCAAAATGTAGAACTTGAGCATTGTCCTTGATTTATTGATGTAAATTCAATGCATTGTCCTTTAAATTATTGATTTTTTATTGGTCTGCACAAGAGGGTGACATTCAAAAAATTTTTCTCCCGCTGAGCCATGGGATAGAGTAAATTATCTCCCTTGTACTAGCCAATCAAAATCTGTCATATTAACGTGAATAATAATAATTAAAATTATCTCCCTTGGACATTTTTCTAAAAAAAATAAAATTTCTGCATTAAGAAAGTGCAGCTTAAATCATTACAGGCATAATAAAGAAACAGCTTTCACGACCAAACATCTTAAAAATACCACCGAACACACCTACTACAAATGTTTATTTTTAACTGTATTTGTAAATTTGACTATTTATATGTTTATATCTACAAAATAATATGAAACAGTATCTGGATATCACTAGAGAACTAAAATGGACAGTCTTAAAAGGGCTTTTGTCAAAACAGTTAATATACTTTACGAAAAGTCTTCTTAGTAAATTTCTTAGTCAGTTAATTACATCAAGTTTTTAATGGATCACTTTAAAACAGCTTCTACAAAATTATTTGTCTTTGATAATCCATACAGTCATTTATTTTATAATAAAAACAAAATTTAACAAAGTTATCTAACAACAATTGTTTTACTTGTATAATTATTGTGCTAATCTCCCATTTAATAAAATGTTTGAACTTCAACTTATTTGAACAATTCATTTCTAATTCATGAAAAGTAAAGACAGTAAATATAAGATAATATAAAATGAAAAGTAAGTAATTGTGATCCCAGAATAAAACCTAACCCGAATAATTCAGTCCCTCCCCGTGATTGCTCTCCTACTCGCGAAGGCCTGAATTCTTTATACAATAAAAACACGTCACTAATCCAGGATTTTGATTGGCGCTCTCTTTGAGAGAGCGCCAATCAGCTAATAGCTCAATGTTATCGAGATAGGTAAATCCTGAGCTAATTTCGATTGATTACTTGACGATTTTTTATTGACAAGGCCTTCAGGCATTAATGTAGCCATCGTAGAGCAGTGGAATATAACGACTGAATTATTCAGGTTAAATAAAACCTTGCTGAATCTGAAAACATTTTTTGTTTATTTTGATTCTCGACTTTAACAGTGTGTAACATTGTCAAAATGGTGAGAATAAAAATATTTAAAATTTAAGATATACAAATGTAACTATACCTGATTTAATTCATTTTGTTTCTTTATTGTGACACAGTATAATACAATAATTTTCCTCAGGAGTTGGTTGTTGTCTTGGTTATAGGTAGTGTGGTGGTGTGTTCAGTGGTGAAACGCCTACCCCAAAATTAAAATGTTTTAGGGATAATTTTGTTATGGTAAAAGTAGAAATAAAAATATTTTGTATTACTATATTCAGCCCTTATTCTCATAATTCATTAAAGTTTCAAATTGCACTTGTAAAATAGGCAAGGGAGATAATCTTTAATAGCCAAATTTAGCTTTTTGTTTAGGAATTTAATTTAGTTACCAAATTGAAGACTAAATGGAATTAGTGTGAAATTATGGAATTATTGGGGATTGAAAGCTGTAGACAACCATGGGCTGTGCTGACCTAAAAAAGTTTTCACAAGAAAATTGCCAGCATCAAATATTTTAGCCAGTTTAACAATATTTGCACCAAGATACATTTGTCCCATCTATTCAAACATGCATTGCTATTCCTTCATATGAATATCATGAATATAGTCAATACATGCATGAGATCAAAGATATATCAAAATTTTTGAATAAAGGTTTTCTTGCACATAAATAATCATTTTAAACCTTTAATACTTATAGTAAGCAGGTTTGCTTACCCTTTAAACTTGAAGGAAGTGAAAAACTGATGGTTATTATGGCTTATGGAATTTTTTAATTGCTTATTTACAAAAGATTTAGTTGGATTGCATCAATTGATCATTTTTTAATAGAATCAATCATCAGAACATTACTAACTGTTAAGGGAAATAACCCAAAATTTTCACAAAGTGCTGTTATACATGTGGATATGATATTTCATTGTAATATTGTTATGAAGAAATATTCTTATCTCATTTTAGTCAGTGACAGTTGTTCAGAAAATAGAGCTGAAGATAGAAGTGGTACCAATCTTTGTCGGCTTATTCGAGAAGAAAATCTGTAAGTGATATTCAATAGACTTCTTTATAAAGTGGTATGAAAAGAAAATATGTACACACATGTTCATGTATTCCAATAATAACTTCAAATAAGAAAACTTACTCTACAGAGAACTTTAAACAGATTAAAGAAAATCAGTAACTTATTCCACAGAGAACTTCAAACAGGAAAAGAAAATCTGTAACTTATTCTAAAGAGAACTTTAAACAGGAAAAGAAAATCTGTAACTTATTCTACAGAGAACTTTAAACAGGAAAAGAAAATCTGTAACTTATTCCACAGAGAACTTCAAACAGGAAAAGAAAATCTGTAACTTATTCTACAGAGAACTTTAAACATGAAAAGAAAATCTGTAACTTATTCTACAGAGAACTTTAAACATGAAAAGAAAATCTGTAACTTATTCCACAGAGAACTTCAAACAGGAAAAGAAAATCTGTTACTTATTCCACAAAAAACATCAAACAGGAAAAGAAAATCTGTGTAACTTATTCTACAGAGAACTTCAAACAGGAAAAGAAAATCTGTAACTTATTCTACAGAGAACTTTAAACAGGAAAAGAAAATCTGTAACTTATTCCACAGAAAACTTCAAACAGGAAAAGATAATCTGTAACTTATTCCACAGAAAACTTCAAACAGGAAAAGAAAATCTGTATATAAATTATAATTTCAAACAGAACAGTACATATTCAATATACATATTAAAGAATGACAGTACAGTGATTATGATAACAGCAATTTGATTATTATTATAAGTTTTTCCTATGTTGCATTTCCTTTTAATTATGGAAATATACTAGATTTGATGCATTTCTGAACTGACATTAAACACTTACAGCCAAGCACATTTAAAAGGGACATAGCACCAATGGAAAAAAGTCTGTGTAAGGTCACAGGTTACTTTCTTATACTGAAAGGCTCCTAACTTTAAATAAAAGTACTCTACACAACTTCATAACATTAAGTTACAAATGTTCAGTAATGTTAAGCCAAAAAGAAAACTAAAAAAAAAAAACAGAAATAATGTCACATTAATTTTTGATTAATATGCAGTACATGTCATTGCAGGTGTACTGAATGAAAATAATGAATAAATGACATAAGATGTGTAAGTAACACTGGTATAATGGTACTATATATAATAAGTTATGATTTTCTTACAGAATAAATGGATCTGTAGCAGTGAGAGAAATTGTACCTGATGATGCTGATACAATAAAGGTAATGATAACATTGTCATATTCTATATAAAAAAATAAACCCATATGATATTAATTTCTGTGTATGCAACATTATTCTGTAATAACCTCAGTCTGGTATACCAAACACCATAAGTTTGGGGCAACAAAAACATAAAAAGTTTAGAAGTATCAAAACTAAAATAGACCTAAGTAGAACATTCAATATTGTCCATGGCCAGTTTTGCAAGAGGAAGTTACATCCTGAGATTTAGAAGACAGAAGTAAAAAGTCAACTGTAAATGGAACAACAACAAAATTCTTAAAGCAAAACAAAATCTGTGTAAAATAAAGACGAATAATAAACTGAAATGTCAGAATTATAACTATATATGTATAGTTGCTCAATGTTATAGAAATAGATTTAGTCTTATATTTTGAATTTTGTTTTGAAGTATGTTTTTGAAATATTATTTGCAGAACAAACTTATGGACTGGTCTGATGTTAAAAAGTTGAATCTGATTTTGACAACTGGTGGAACAGGATTTTCACAGAGAGATGTCACTCCTGAGGTATATATAATCACTCAATATTAATTTTATGAACACATTTTCTTTTTTGGCTCTTGAACTTTCCATGTGTGCTTTGGCATAGAATTATAGGACTTAGGACTTTCAAAACCTGACAATTTGTTATATGTCTATTAAATTTGTTTAGACCAAAGCTTCTGGAATTTTTATACAATGCTAATTTTGACAATGCCAAGATTCCTTTGTTCTTTTCCATGATCATGTGGACTGTAATGCCATATAGGAACAAAAGAAAAAAATCTTCTGATGTCACTTTTTTCTCAAAGTGTTTTATGTGATAAAAGGAGGATGTATGAATGTTAAATTTCGTTTAATATGTTTTATGTTACTGATTACACTTTTTATTGGCACTAACTTTCAAAGACTGTTCACAGCAGTTGTGTTGATCCAATGATAATCATGATGATTTCTATGTAAAGACTTTTACTTACAGGCAACAAAAGCCATTCTTGAGAAGGAAGCTATTGGTATTACTATAGCTATGATTACACAGTCCTTACAAGTTACTAAACTTGCCATGCTGTCAAGGTATAGTAAAGACTGTACCATTATCTATCATTTACAGTACCCATTTGTTTACATATGGTCTATTGGTGTTTGGATTTTTGGTTAATGAATTTAAACCAAAAAAATTTTTTCCAAACTAATCTGCATTAAAGGCCATTTAAGTACTGTTTTACTTCTCTGAAATGTTTTATCTTTTAGTTGATTTCAATCTGTTGGCTTTTTTGATAAAAAAAAAGGCACTTTTATTAAAATTTGATTGGTAGTGATTATTTTAGACAGATAGCCTTAACATTTATTCAAAATAATCAATTAAAATTTTATGCATGGGATGGGTAAATCTAAAAGTGCCTTCTGACACCCCCCATACATTTATTTCTGGAAAAGCCCTAACCATAACATTCAAAGTTATATCAGTATTGATGGATTTAAATTTAGAAATTTAATTAGATTAATACTGAACTACTTTCAGACTTGTATGTGGTAGTCGAGGTCAGAGTCTTATTATTAATCTTCCTGGAAGTGTTAAAGGTTCAGAGGTAAGTTTATGTTTTCATTCTTGTTCTTAATTTTTATACGCCCGTTTACGGGACGTATTATGGTATACCTCTGTCCGTCCGTCCATCTGTCCGTCGTCAACATGTTGGACATTAACTCAAAAATGCTTTAACCAATTTGTTTAAAACTTTGGTGAATTGTTTATATCTATTGACGTGAGCTCCCTTTCGTTTTTTATAAAATTTAGATTTTACGTTTCCGAGTTAAGGGGTTTTATTCATTAAAAAAAGGGGGATTTTCCAGTTTTCGGACAATAAGTCAAGAATGCTTTCACCAACTTGCAAGAAATTGTGGTGAATTGTTTATATCTATTGCCATGAGCTCCCTTTAGATTTTTATAAATTTTAGATTTTATGTTTCTGAGTTACAGGGTTTTATTCATAAAAAAGGGGGGATTTTCCAGTTTTCGGACAAAAACTCAAAAATGCTTTCAGCAATTCTTATGAAACTTTGGTGAATTGTTTGTATGTATTGATGTAAGCTCCCTTTAGAATTTTATAAATTTTATATTTTACATTTCTGAGTTATGGGGTTTTATTCATTAAAAAAAGGGGTGATTTTTCCAGTTTTCGGACAATAACTCAAAAATGCTGTCACCAATTCTCTTGGTGAATTGTTTATATCTATTGATGTAAGCTCCCTTTTTATTTTCATAAATTTCTAATATGACATTGAGAATTAATTGAACTTTATTTGTTTATAGTCAGACAACAGATTTACTAAGTATTGCACAACAGCAAGAAATCTTTGATTGAACATAAATTCAATGTATATAACCAATTTCAAGTTCTTTGAATACATTTATTCAGAAACCTATAATATGTCAAATATTTAATTACAATCCAAATTCAGACCTGAATCAAGCTTGAATATTGTGTCCATTTTTGCCCCAACTGTTCAGGGTTGGACCTCTGCGGGCGTATCTAGTTGACTAATTCTGGGAGAATATCATTAAATGTGAGAATTAAATGTTACTTTTTCATCACCATACTCTGTGATAGTCATCAACACTTAATGTTCAGTTTTCATATTTGGTTCATTTTGAAATAAGCACTAAGGATGCATTCTAATATTTGATATATAGTTTTGTAAGCATAGATTTATTTCTGTTGTATGCAGTATATGAGGCCCCACTCCTTTGGACAGTCACTAGTGACTTTAAAAGTAAGTTTTCAGATTAGTAATACCTTAATCATTTCATAAAAGCATAATTGAGAAGAATTTTTTACATAGCCTCAGCTTTAGTGTAAATGAGTATATATAAAGTTCACACAAATCTTATTCATAAAGTTGCATGAGACCATTAAACACCAACTGAAAATGGCAAGACAATTTTAAAGTATAAGTGATTACCCCATATACAGCTTTTTTCTTCTTCAAAGTAATTCCATTATCAAATGAAAGTTTAAGCCTCTCTCATGTTTCTTTTACTCTTTTGTCCTTGTATCAGTCAATATGCCATAATTGTAGCCACATTATTTCTATTATTTCATATTTTTTTTTACATTTCTTCCAGGAATGTTTTAGATTTGCACTACCTGGGATAACGCATGCAGTTGACCTACTGAAAGACAATTCTTCACAAATACAACAAACCCATACTCATCTGCAAAGTAAAGGTGTTCATCAGGACACAAAACAGATGAAGGTAGGTCACACAGAATTGTATTGTTATTTCCAGAGATCTGAGTAAAATCACAGAAACTATGTTTATTTCCATATTTGACTTAAAGTCAGAGATAATATTAGATTTCATTTTGTTTCCCTTTTGCTGTATTATTATTTTCCATTGGAAAATCTAGAAAAATGTGAAGTAATGGAATCTTCATTTCCATCCCTGCCAAAAGCTGATGAGGGCAATTATCTTCACCCTTGTTCATCTTGACATCACAAAATCCAGTCAGTAGTTTGTGAGTATGTCTGGGTAATTAATTTTTATTCCCCAGCAGTCAAAGTTTTGGGGTATATAGAAATCACCATGTCCTGCTTCGTGTCCTTTGCATAACTTTTGTACCATTGAAATTAGGTTGACCAAACTCAATATGCAGATGCATCATGGGATGGAGATGTGTCATACACAAAAGTCAGGTCTGACTTTGACTTTGACCCCTATTAAAGTAAATCCTTGTCCAATTCGTGTCTGGTTCATAAATTTGTACCGTAAAACTTAGGAAAACAAACTTGGTATGCAGTTGCATCTAGGACTAGAGGTGTGTCTTATACCTAAGTCAGGTCACTCTGACCTTGACTTTGACCCCTATGATAGTAAAACCTTGTTTTATTTGTGTCCTGCACATAACTTTTGTACAGTAGAACTTGGGTTGACCAACTTTGTACAAGGATGCAATGTTGGATGGGGGTGAGTCATATGGTCCGAGTACACAGTTATTTCGTAGTACATTTCTTTTAGACAATAAATGAAAATTAAAAAAATCCCACCTGCGCTTTCTCAATAATATTTTTACAGTGTTTGTACTACTTTTGGGACAAATTATATCAAAATTATAGAAAACTTCATTGGCTCTAACTCAAAATATGGACAATTTTATGTTAAGGGGGTCTTGAAATATTTTGACATCTTCCGATGTGCTTACTTTTAACCTTTTTCAGCTGGACCAAATTTTACTTTAAAATTCATGACCCAAATTTTTTTACAGTGTAATTTAATCCCCCTACTTGCTATTTGAGGCATAAAACATGGAGAAATAAATTTGGAAAGGGTATAAAAAAAATTGGCAAGTAACACACTGTCCACACTAGGGACTATATTTGTGGACAACGAAAATCAAAGGACGATAACTGTGTACTTGGACCTAATATATCAAAGTCAATTCACTCTGACCTGGACTTTGACCCCTATGATAGTAAAACATTGTATGATTTGTGTTCAGTGCATACATTTTGTACTGTAGCATTTAGATTGACAAAACTTTGTATACAGAAGCATCATACTGACCTTGACTCTGACCTTTAACCCCTATGATAGCAAAACCTTGTTTGATTTGTGTCCTGCACATAACTTTTGTACAGTAAAACTAAGGTTGACCAAACTTTGTACAAGGATGCAATATTGGATGGGGTGAGTCATATATCAAAGTCAATTCACTCTGACCTGGACTTTGACCCCTATGATAGTAAAACATTGTATGATTTGTGTCAGTGCATAAATTTTGTACTGTAGCATTTAGATTGACAAAACTTTGTATACAGAAGCATCATACTGACCTTGACTCTGACCTTTAACCCCTATGATAGCAAAACATTGTCTGATTTGTGTCCTGGACATAACTTTTGTACTGTAGAACTTAGGTTTACCAAACATGGTATGAGGATGCATCATGGGATGGGGGAGAGTCATATATCAAAGTCAGGTCACTCTTGACTTTTGACTCCTATGATAGTAAATATGGTGCATAACTTTCTTTCTCTAGCACTTAGATTGACAAAACCTTGTATGCAGAATCGTAATGGGATCAGGATGTGTCAAATAACAAATCAAGTCACTGTCTTTGAATCTTGAACCCTTTTGCTGAAAGCCAAATAACACAAAACGTCATTGTCTCAATACCGAATGGGACATCTAAAATGCATGTATGGGGTATAAGACTTGCTATACGGACAGCTCTAGTCAAATTTGGAAAGAATTACATCCTGACTTTAGAATGACACATGTAGAATGTGGCTGGGTTAATCATGTTTGTGAGCTCTTAACCCTTGCCTAACCTTGAACATTGGTGTAACAGCACAGCATGAGAATGTGTTATCTTGTATGTTGACTTCATGTTTGTTATCTTGTATGTTGACTTCATGTTTGATATCTTGTATGTTGACTTCATGTTTGATATCTTGTATGTTCACAACTATATTTTCACCATATTTTGGGACATTAAGGTTCTTTTAAAATTATTTTAGAATACTTCAACTAAATCTTTTAAATTTAACAGAATGCTGGAACCTCTCAACATAAATTTGGTTCCAATTTGGCTTAAATCTTTCTTGTTTGAGCATTATGTCTCTTTTTGTTAAAAATTGCTAATTTTGAGGTTTCTATTGAATTGCCTGAGATTGCCTAATTTGAAATTAAAACACACTGTTAGATACCAGAAAAGTCCAATTTGAATTTGACCAGTTCCAAAATAATAACCCTTAATTTATATGGAAAATAAACAAATTTGACTATGCTTCAAGAGGGTCATAATTTGGGTACCTTCATGACGAATCACGGTAAAAAATCTTGCCAAATGACGTTAACGGTAATATTTGGTGCATGACGATAAAATGTACACTTTCTTTAAGACAATAAAAAAATCAACTGATTTTGACGAATCACATTAATTTTTTACAAAAATGACGGTAACGATAACTATTTGAGACCTCTGACAAATCACGATAAGGATATTTTGATGAAGCACAGTAAAATTTTAACCAATTCGACCCTAACGGTAGCCGAAAATTACCATTTGACGCCTGACGGTAAAGGGCATTCATACCCTCCTTCAACATCACCATTTTATATATAAACACAATACATAGAACTCCTAGCAGAGGTTAAGTTTTGTTTTTGCTTCACATTTGTCACTCGAGAGTACTGGTCCTTTGAATGTTGAAAATAGATTGATTTGAAATTTCCGATCTTAATTTTAAGATATTTCAACCAAATATATTTTATATTATCACAGTCTAGAAACCTCCAACCATAGGTCACATTCAAATTCAACACATGTCACATTTGTTGCTTAAGAGGTGCACTCTAAACTATGTGGTCAAAAGAGATTTTATATTTATGCTCAATAACTTCATTATGCTTTAATAAAATCATATGATATTTTATAACAATTTTACTCCAGGTTGAGTTTGAAATTCATACATTTCATAGTTTTCATCCTAGAGAAACACTCCTAAATAGCAAGAAAAATGAAAAAAAACTAAGTGCTTCTGCTTAAAGATTGGACTATCCTTCAACAAAATCAATTTAGAATTTAACACATTGTTTGGATGCACTAGACACACAGTTTGTTTAGGGCACATTTTATGTCAAAAATTGACAAAGGAGAAGGTAAAACGAAGCCCTTTTTATCTTTTGATTTCATAAGTAAAAAAGTAATAAAATCTACATGTACCAAATATCATCATAGGTCAGACATTCCCAACACATTATTGTCTAAGTTTTTAGTGATATGATATTTGAAATTTGTCTTGTATGTTTGTTAGACCATTCGATTCTCCCATCAAATTTTTATGAGAAACAGTCTTACCCAAAAAGACGTTTTGCCAGAAGATGTTTTACACAGAAGTGTTGATGTGAGGAAATACCTTCAGTGTCTTCCCTAGAAAAATTTTCATGCATGGTGGGTCCATGGTGAATTTGCAATGCGGCACACGATGCTTCTTTTTCCAGAATTAGTTACACTACATAATTTATATGTTTAAAGCCATTTACTAATCTAATTGTTTTATTATAGGTTTCAAAATCTTCCTCCTTTGGTCCTTCAATTGATATATGCATTAAGCAATTCAGCACTTTTTGGCATAGTCTTTTTCTGAAAGGTGTTTTAACTCTGTTTAAGCATGAAAAACACCTTTTACAATCAGCTGTTGAAACTGGCAAACGGAGACCAATTACTGCATACTTAGACAGACAAGAGACTGGCAACTTTGTTCATTGTCTGCCTAAATGTCATGTCTTTACATTCTTTCACTAACAGTGTCCTCAGTTTGCTGATAGAATGGTTTCAGCATCAACAGCAAGTTGTTAAATAAAACTTTGAATGTCATCATTGCTTCACAGAGATTTTACAGGAAACAATAAAACAAAGTTTATTTGCGTTAATTACAGAAGTCGTCAATGAAGAATACCTGACATATGGACATACGGATGACATTGTTTGGAAGCTAAGCTGACGTTTTATTTTATGACAATTTGTAACTATTTTTTTTTAATACATCCCTGTCCGATTTATTTACAACGCTTCATAATTGTAAAAATCCTATCTTGCCGAAGTGAAAGAAATTTAGCCCCACTTGTGTAAAAAACGGCAAATGAATCCGCTACACTTAAGCTTCATGTGACCCATTGAAATTTGAAATAAAAATAGAACAACACAAGTTTATTAAAAACAATATTTCCGTAAATAACTACGTATGTTTTGAAAGTTTTTCTTTCAAATCTTTTAAATATTTCATAAGACACGTCTTTTGCTCGGCCCGGTGGCGGTGATGTGTATTCTTTGATATAATCAATCAACCGCGACTAATCTAAAAATAACTGATTGTTGTGACCAATCAAAAAATAATTCATCGATGTAAATATAGCTGATGAAAAAACTGTGAAACTTTATTAAAACAAAAGTTTTGTCCATTCTCGGTGAAATTACGTTAGTTTTATTTTATAATACCAGAGACTATACCAAATTTTAAATTTCTACTTTTTAATGATCACAGTAAAATCATGATGTCAAACACCCGTTTTAAAGGTGAAATTTATACTGGAAAAGGTTAATTTTTGTATTAAGCACAGAAAGATATGCATTGGAGATTAATCTGACTATTTATTTATCAGCTAACTGGCAACTTCAAACATGTAACCGAAGTTATGATATATAACCAACTAATCAAGAAGGTTGTAAAATCCCGGCACGCGCGACGTGATGCATACAATTATCAGTCGGATGAGTTTAAAACACATGTGGAGTGTTGTCACTTGTCACTTCACTTTCAAAATATCGATAATAAATATTTTACACAGTTATAATTTTCACACATAGCGGGATGCATTGCGGCAATGATGAAAGCATGGCGGTCGAAATTTATGCGTAGCCGTACCGCAATGCTTGAACATGTTGAATAGCCTAGGGAAAACACTGACCTTTTTATAACCCCACTTCAAAGGTGGCTGAGACACTTTTGTATATATGATTTGATTTTTTCAAGGTACCATATGATATTTATTTTCTGCAGTTTTGAAAATTTTGTGAATCTGCTTTTCAAACATATCAAAGTGAAAAATCACAATTTTCACACAAAGAAATTCTTTGAAAATTCAGTTCTTTGCAAACGTTTAACTCACTTTCAGGACATAAGGTATATTGACCTAGATTTGTAACTACAAATCAGTGCATCTTTTAATATTTAGTACCAAGCTTCATATTTATAAGATATACTGTGACACATTTCCAGATTTTTATCTTTGTCCTATTTTCTCTACATAATGAAATTTTCAGCGCATTTTACTAAACAGTAGTGTGCCTATCTTTCTTCTATAGTCTGTTTCCATATTGTTTGGTATATGCATTTCCTTACACTCAAAAGAAAGAGCAGGGGTATAAATTAGTGAGCACCACATCTTTTTACCAAAACTATATTTCAAATGGTATTTCATCACTCAAGTGACTGGATATACCATCTATTCATTTAGCAATAATTTCACCATAATTTTGAAAGGATTGATTAATTTTACAGGTTTTTTTAAATTCCAGGGACCAAGTAATAGTTCTTATTTTACCTTATCTCTTTTATTCCTGTTCAATAATTTACACAATGCTAAAACAATTAATCATTTGAATTTGAATTTAGTGCATTTCAGATTGGGGTTTTTTACTAGATATGCCCAAATTTCAAGTTTGCTCAATACATGCACTATGAGAATGCATAAACAAAATACTTTTATGTATATACAATGCAAGGTGTCATCATATAGTGTTGGGTTGATATTTGACACAGTTAACTTATGTCATTCTAGAGTAATTTCACCTTATTTTTTATTAGTAAAAAAAAGAAAAAAAAAAAGAACTCTGTTACTCTGAAACAGATTATAATTATATATAGCTTAGTTTATGGTATGGGTATAGCTTTCTATACAGTTTGGTTTTTTATGTCCGGCTCGTAGCGAAGGGGGCATTAAGTGTTACCATTGTCCGTCCGTACGTCCGTTTGTATGTCCCAAAATTAGTTTCCGTTCTCTAACTTTAGTTTGATTCAACCAAATGTGAAACTTATACACAATTTTTATTACCATGAAACTCAGATCAAGTTTGATTTTGGGTGGCATCACTTTTACCGTTCTTGAGTTATGTCCTTTTATAATGTTATATTCAAGCAGAGGATCATCTGTGTCCCATGGACACATTCTCCATTTATTTTCTTATTGTTGAAGAACGTACGGTGACCTATAGTTGTTTACATCTTATAACATTTTACTTCTGATAAATCATCCACTGCTGATCTTTTTGTATGATCAGTTCAGCTTATGACTTTAATGAAGTCACCACTAATGAACTTTGATCAGGTAATTTTTCAAAAGCCAATAATTGACTGAGAATGTCATGAAGCACATGTCATTTGAATTTTGATAGATTACAGATTGTTAAATGATTTGTAAAAGAGAAAAAGATAATGGTGTAAATATTCATGTATAATTTGTAACAATCTTTAAGCTAAGAACAATCAAATGAGGTATAATGATAATCTGATATATGACACTTATACAATTTGCTACAGATAGCCCATGTAATTGTGAAGGTAAAGTTTAATGTTTCTTAGTTCAGTTATTATTGTTATAGTTGAAATGATTAACTAGTGTTAATTAAGTTGCTTGATGTTGAATTTTTAGCTAGAATGCTAAGCTGTTGCCCTGACTTGACATTCACTTTTGTCTATTGACATTTGCTAGATCAAGGCATGGTTGTCATTTTCTTTAGTTATATGTAATGGAATAAAGAAAACCCAAAATTTATTTTCAGCAAAAGGGAAATGACAGGTTGTCTGTACAAATAGATTCGATATTGATATAATTACAAATGTAGTTTAATTTATAGGAACTGATTTAAAGTAATTCTAGATAAAAAAAGGCAATTGCATTATCCATCAAAATTACATGCAACAATTAATATTGGTACTTGGTAGGCCTCATTCAATTTAAATATTTGCATTATTTGTTCAGAGCATGTAAAGTAGTTCTTTGATTTCTAGAACAAAAATAACCAGTAACCAATATAAACATTGTTTGGTCCTTGTGTAAGTTCTATGCTTCTGAACCATTGTTGCAGAGATTTTGATTATGTCAAAGGTGTTTGAAAAATGAAATTTCTACTGTAGAAATAATCTTCATTGATGAATGTCAGTCATACCTACTTGACTCTTGAGACCTTGATTTAACTGTTAATGTGTACATCAGACTCATTGTCTGACACATTTTCCAATTAAAATACATTAATGTGAATCTAATGTTGAACGATGCTACATATTACTTAATTAAATATCTATCATCACTTACTGTTCCCTAGATCTTTCTCCTATTTACATTTACCCCTTATCTTTAGTTGCAGATTTGTTAAAATATAAAAATCACAATCCATCATTTAACCATCTTGTCATCTTCATTATTACACTTTTTTTTTATCTGCCTCTTGTTCTAAACCAGGTAGTCAAAATAAGCAACTAATAAATCCTGAATAAACCTGACCACATGTTTTATTTATTTTTATTGCAGTTAGTTTCAAAGTTTTCTGTATGTTAGCTTATATTCAATGTTTGGTTAAGAGAGGCATATCTATGATGCAGTATTTTGCTTCAGTTTTTTATGTCATTATTTTCATGAAAAGGTCTGTACTGAAGTGTTAAGGCACACAACAGAATATTTTCATGCCCGGACTTTGATAGTGGAGGGCATCATATTTTCCAGTCTGAAGGTTCATTTTTGTTGAATTTGTGATAACATTGTGTGTATGCATGAAGTATTATGTAAAATAGTCAGTATAGTATTAAAGCTAGTAGTTGTAATAGCCAGCAGGACTAGTTCATCAAGAAATCTACCAGCCCACCAGAAAAATATATTAGCCTGAACAAGGTGGATATAAATAGGTAGTCAATGATATTAACATTCTACTCATATTAGAATTTGAGACTCTGAGTCTGATCTACAAGTTCATCCGACTTCCTTGCAAACAATACATTTCATAAGATCCATTCCTGTAATTTTGTAATGCAAAAATAAAAACTTAAAATTTGAAACAATGAACTTGTATCATGCAATTTTAAAGAATATATTATGCTGATTAAGTGAATATTTGAAATAGACACACATTTAGCTTTTTTTTCTACTGAAAAAAATGCTTATCTTTTTAAAGAACTGCAATAATGTAACTATATGCAAAAGTGCTATATCTAGGGTTTTTTTGTCCACCACCTGCCTCAATGGAAGACTAAAACATGATTTGAAATTATGCATACGGCTCTTCCAATCGTGCCAACCATGAATTCGATCATTTTGATTTTGTATTGCCAGGGCATTATAAATTTCCAAAATGCAAACCCAGAAATAAAAAAGATAAATAAAACGTATAAAATTGAATCATTGTGTTAACAATAATTATTATAGGCTATTTAAGGTTTTAATTACTGGTAGTCCTCCAGATTACCTGAACAGACTGTTCCACAAGTTTGACGTTGATTCTGCTAGCTTTGGACTAGAACATGTCAAACTTAAACTTAGTTTTATTACACTTTTATGGTAAATGCCATTTAATAAAACTTGACAGTTTTGATTGTTTGATAAGAGAGGGTAAAGAATAAAATTGAAATCAAGATATCTTGTGTTAGCGTCTTTTTTAAATGGTAATTCAATATTACATCAATTTCTAATTTAATCAGGAAAAGCGACATTTGGACATTGCCAGCAGTGTCTTACAGAAATACTCAAAACAATTTCCTAAACCACGCAAGAAAAAGTCAAAACATCACAGAAAGTTTATTGGAGTTATGGTTAGGCACAGCTTGAAAGGAAATGAGATATTTCCTTCAAATTTTGATGACTACAATGGTAGCACTGTTGAACAAACAACTGTTGAACAAACTAACACTGAGGAAGAACAGAGTATGAATTCTCAGATGTATGAGGCAGTGAAAATTTTGTCACCTCCAAAAATGAACATTGAAAAGGAAAATTCTTTAGATTTTACAAACACAGAGTCGTTAGATCTTCCTGAAATTGAAAATATACCTAGCGTTGAAGAAGCTGAAATACAGTTGATACAAAAAATGTATTGTGATCAAGTCAATAAGCAAAGTGGATTTTCAGATTCTTCCGTAAATTCTGTTGATTTATCAAATCAAAGTGAACCACAAACACATCTTGTTTTAAATGGTTTAGTGATGGATATTAATAATATGAATCAAACATCTAATCATATTGAATCAAATGAATCAGTAGTTAGTCATTTGAATCAGTTATCCAATCAGATTGTTTTGGATGAATCGGTGATTGTTAGTAATGTGAATCAGTCTCCTTCGAACCTGACCATTTCAAATGAATCAGTAATTGGTAGTAGTATTATGACACCATCATCTAATCAGATCATTTTGAATGAAACAGTTATTGATAGAAACAATATGAATCATTTGTCCACCAATCAAAACATTTTGAATGATTCAATAATTATTAATGATGCACAAGGGATTCAATCAATAGAAATCCAACAGAAGCACTTATCATGGAGTAATGGAATTGAAAGTATGGGTAATTCTGATAGTATATTATATATTGATGAAATATTAGATGAAAATGTCAATGATTTAGATGATAATGCAGAAGAAAATAGTAATGACAATTTAGTAAGTCAAGAATCTGTTGGTGTTCAGGCTGATTTAAGTGACAGTAATGAAATGGTTCATTATTCTGAATCAGAAGATGAAAACCCTGTTAAAAAAGATATTAGTATTTATGACATTGATTCAGATTCATTAACAGACAAAATTATTCTTCCAAAGTCCTACAGGAAAATGGGAGAATTTAAAATGAAGTCTGTTCCTTTCAGACCTTTTAGTTCATTTAGCACAATACAAAAACAACAGGGTGCTTTTAAAAGGAGTGAACATCATGGTATTGTTAAAACAAGAGAACAAGATGGTGTTTTTAAAAAGCCATTGAATGATACAAAAATATCAAAACGAAAGGGTTGTGTTGAAACTGTTAAGTGTGAAGTGGGCAAAGGTATTCATAAGTTTTTTGCTAAACATTATAAAATTAGAGGGATTTACTTAAACAAAGGAAAGAGACATGTTAAAAAGGATCTTGTTGTGTTAAAAAGGCAGGATTCAGCTGTAGACCAGGGTAGCTGGAAAAGAGGAAATTTTATACATGATCGAAATAGATTGGATGATTATTTTGAGTTGACAGAAGAAGGACAAAGGAAAAGAAAACTGTTAGATAAAAAGATGGTACGAGATGAATATGTTGTGAACTGGTACTTATTCTGTCCTGGTCATGGAAACTGTAAACGCAACTGTGGTGGTTATGGCAAATGTGTCCAAGGTATGTACCATATATGTATTTGAGTAGTAATATCAAAAATCCATAGTTTGTTGAAGACTGTATAGTTTGTTAAAGACTGTATAGTTTGTTAAAGACTGTATAGTTTGTTGAAATTTCTAGTGACAGTTTATTCCTGTTTGTAGATACTTAGAATTTTTAATATGTTGAATGAACTTTATACTTTTGGCAAACATTTCTCCAGTACTCCTAAACAGAATGACTTCATATCTGGTCTAAGCTTGACAGTGATAACTTGTAACTTATAAAAACTGTTATCTGTTAAAAACCTACTTCCTGTTTTCTTTACATTGGTACAAGTTGAGGTATGCTTAGAAGGACAATGAGTGCAAATCGTATGTAGTTGTATAAGCATTGCCATATCTCATTTTCATGGAGAATATTTAGCCCCACCTCCTCAGTCATTGTACATTGACATTGAAAGTTTTGCTTAATTTACATGTTTAAGTTTGTAATTAGGTCACTTTAAAGGGAACTACTAATGGGTAGTCAATGATATTGGTATGCAGTTGGTTTAGCATTTATTTAATCATTTGCATATTTCATTTTCTTGAAGATTATTTGATAGCAGTATGTGTATGCATTTTCTGAGATTGCAATAATTAATCTCATGTTTTTGTCCATTGTTTAATTCAATCTCAATAATAAATGAATGCAAAAGTTCCTAGATTAACAGTTATGATGAGGAATTGGTTATATATTGTTTATGATTATTAAGCTTCAGAGTATGTAAGTAAGCTTATTTATGGCTTTGTCTTTTATTGTACTAAGTTTGCTAAGTTTACCTTTACTGTACTGAATTTATGATGGTCATCCTTTCATTTTGCCTGGTGTACAGATAGTCTTTGAATTTCAACTTTTGCATCATACCATTGAAATTAAACTCAGGCAAGATATATCTCAGTGTCAACAGTTATATTTTCCGTCTGAAGAGTGAGGAACACAAAAGGATTTAAACTGATTGCAATATCTAAATTTAAACATTGATTACTGTAATGATTCTGGATGAAAATATATAAAGAAGTTTATCCAGAAAAAGTCACTTTCAGAGTTCTGGGCAAAAAGTTTAAGTGAATTACAGGTTGTATTTTGAAATGTTTTGATTTTTCATGATGAAAAATGTTTCTTAGAAGGAAGAAAGAAATAAGGCAAGATACTCTTTAGGAAATACTTAAGCTGTAAAAGAAATGTTAAAAAAGTAACACAAAAAAGTTTACATTGCTACATATAAAAGCTTAAATATCAATGCCACTAATGAAAGCATGCATTTTACACATCACAAATGTTTATTAAATTCAGTTAAGACAAATTTGTCTTACAAAAACAGGTAATCACAGATATTGTCAGAAGTAATATGATAGTGTGTAGCTATATCAGAAGTTTTCTTCAAAGTCAAATTTTTTTAGTCATGGTTTAAGGAGAAAACTTGCTGTGCACCTGATTGTAGCAGTCACACAACTGACTATTAGCCAAATTGATTTTACCTTATGCATGTCATGATTTGCATGAAAGCAGTTAGGATAGACACAAAAACAAAATTAAAATAAGAAAAAAACACTGAGAGGTGTTGTTTGTTTTTTTGACAGATAGGGATGAGACATTTATGTGGTATGTTAGACAAAAAAGAGTTATCTATCTTTGAATATTTTTGCCTATCATAAGATTTTTTGTATGAAGTATGAAATGGAAACAATTTTACAAATGTTTTTAAAATTTAAGTATCAAGAATCTGATTCAGAGGTCAGTCTACCAGTGTCTGATGAGGCTTGTGAGAGTCAGACTTTGACAATCTTGCCCGTCTGTTCAAGGCTTGTGAGAGTCAGGCTGGTCAGTGATGACTGGAAATCTTGCCAGTCTGTTCAAGGCTTGTGAGAGTCAGGCTTGTCAGTGATGACTGGAAATCTTGCCGGTCTGTTCAAGGCTTGTGAGAGTCAGGCTTGTCAGTGATGACAGGAAATTTTGCCAGTCTGTTCAAGGCTTGTGAGAGTCAGGCTTGTCAGTGATGACTGGAAATCTTGCCAGTCTGTTCAAGGCTTGTGAGAGTCAGGCTTGTCAGTGATGACTGGAAATCTTGCCAGTCTGTTCAAGGCTTGTGAGAGTCAGGCTTGTCAGTGATGACTGGAAATCTTGCCAGTCTGTTCAAGGCTTGTGAGAGTCAGGCTTGTCAGTGATGACTGGAAATCTTGCCAGTCTGTTCAAGGCTTGTGAGAGTCAGGCTTGTCAGTGATGACTGGAAATCTTGCCAGTCTGTTCAAGGCTTGTGAGAGTCAGGCTTGTCAGTGATGACTGGAAATCTTGCCGGTCTGTTCAAGGCTTGTGAGAGTCAGGCTTGTCATGCTTGTCAGTGATGACTGGAAATCTTGCCGGTCTGTTCAAGGCTTGTGAGAGTCAGGCTTGTCAGTGATGACTGGAAATCTTGCCGGTCTGTTCACATTACGGTACTCTTCCTTGTATCTTTTCCTCAGGATAATATTAGTCATTTTCCTATTGTTTATCTTATGCAGTGTTTTCTCAATATTTCCAGTAATTTTTACTGTTGGGCAAAACAGAAAACTTTGAGTTTGTGAAATTTTACACAGAAATTACTGGTATTATTGAAAAGTAGAAATCTTTGTAATTACTGCATTTGAATAAAAAAAAATGAGAGGTCAGTTATGATTATGATAAAACCCCACAATTATTGTATCCTAACCACTTATCTTACTTTACCAAGCTACTGTAAAATTCTTCCTTTGTTCATTAGGGAAACAAGATGCTATATATAATCTCCCTTAGGGTAGATTACAGGCAAATATATCTCCCTCTAGAGATACCAAATATATATACCGGTATATATGTAATTTGAAATATATTTGCTGTAGTAATGTTTTAGGAACTAATGATGATATCAAAATTAAGCTGATAATATTAGGTGAAGTAAGGAAAACTTAATATCTTAATCAATAAAATAAAATTCCCCTGATATTTTTAAAATCATTGCTTGTAATATAATACTTTTTACACAACAATTTGTATAAAAATAACAAAATTAAAATGAAATAGTCAAGTAGACCCAAGTACCAAAGAACAGTATAAGAATCTTATGTTATTAAGCAAAGTTGTCCTAAGTAAAAATTTTAATATTGAGCTCCAGTTTAAAGAATTATTTACAAAGTGTTAAGCTTTGGGTGATTTAGAGTTTCACATTTATCATGGACATTTGTATGTTGTTGAAGACAGTTTGTTAATGTGTTTTTTTTTTAATTGTTTTGTTTGGTTGTAGTCACATCTCCCCTTATCATATCAAATTGTAGTAAAGTCATTGTATGGATAAACAAGACTACTACCATAAGAAGATGAGCACAGTTACAGTTTCAAGGATTATATAATGATTGCTTGCAAACTTTCCGAATGAATCATGTATATCTTATCTCTTAAGTATTTGAGTTTGTCCCAAGATATGTCAAATAATTTAATTTATTTCTGATTTTTATGCCCCGGCTGCTAGGCGAAGAGGGCATTAAGTGTTACCCTTGTATGGCCAACCTTCCTTCTGTCTGTCATTCCGTCCGTCCATTGTCCGTCCGTCCCAAAAGTATTTCCACATATTATAAGCAAGCTTGAGTGGGGGCATTCATGTCCTCAGACACATTCTTTTATTTTTATGCCCCAGCAGTTAGGCAAAGGGGGCATTAAGTGTAACCCTTGACAGTCCTTCGGTCCTTCTGTCCATCCATCCATCCGTCTATCTTTCTGTCCGTCCTTCTGTCCCAAAAGTATTTTCACATTTTATAAGCAAGCTTTGAGCGTGATTAGTGTCCTCAGACACATTCTTTATTTTTTAATAATGATAATTGAGTAAATTTTATATTCAAAGCAGTTTGTCTTTGTTGTTTTATTATTACACTATCCATTTACAATACTTAAAAATGCTATCAAATTTAAAAGAAAAGAAAATTTATTCGTTTTGTTTTTTTTATAGTATTTGATGGTTTTGAAAATATATTTTTTGTTCATAATATTTTTTAAAAGGGCATTTTTATTTTTTTATTTTCATCATGATCATATAAAGAATTCCCTGGTACAATCGTTTTATTGTATGTTTGTTTATACACCTTTTGTAAGTTCACAGATCAAGATATAAAGATGGAGGTTTGAGTTTTAAAAATACTATGGGGGGTGGGGGTCGATGGCCGAATGGTCTAAGTAGTCAAACTAATGTATCACTAGCTTACCAACACTGAGGTTGTGAGTTCAAATCCCACAGGGGAGCTCAAATCCAATCTTAATTGACTAGGATTGTCAATATTCCAACTGAGTGCTTCTCTCCGTGGACTTCAGCTTCTTCCACCAATAAAAACAGGGTGACGCCACGAAATAGCACAATAGAGCTGAAAACGGTGTTAAACACCAATCAATCACTCAAATTAATGGTTAACCCTGTCAGTGGTTTTCTAATGTCATATCTAAATTTAAAATTTTTTTGTTGGAGAATTTGGTGTTTATGGCTGATTTAATTTACTCACAACTTTCATAGACAATTTAAAGCTTGTTAATGTATAGCTTCTGTCTCATTGACATATACCCAGATCTGCTTTTTTATAAACAAACCAACATCGCTTCTTTATTTAATTATTTTGTTAGATTGAATGCTATAGTGATGATACATGTATTGCCTTTGCAATACAAATTCTATGCAATAACACAATACACATGATACAGTTTTGGTAGAACAGACCCAAACAGTAGTTCCTAAAAATTGATACAAATTTAAATGAAGCATTTTTTTTATGTGCTTGCTTTCAAATCACAGCACCAACTCCTTTGTTCACTGTTCATTCATTTTAGGCCTCAATCTCTTCAAACCCACCTATTCATCTGGTCCTGCATCCTTTTGTGGACATAGCTATATTTTGACTTACTACTATTATATTGAAGGATGGGATATTTTTTTTTTTTATATATAATGGTAAATATCAGATCAAATAGAGAAATTGAATAGA